TCATGTATGTTGGATCTGATATGGTGGACGCGCCCAGGCACGTCCGTGCCTCCTCATATCTGCCCAAGGTATGGGCTAGATATGCGGATGCCAGTCAGTTCAGACATATAAGGCCAGTTTGAGAAGTATGACTGGGTCATAATTATAATCGGTCACTGGTCGGACCGTCCGCCTAGACGTATATGGGGCATTTGAGGAATCCTTGATGCTATAACATGTGTCCAAACCGTAGCCCAGCAACAAACGGAATCGGCTGCAAGATTAAAAAGAAAGACTAAATCGGTTGCAAGGTTAAAAAAAGACGAAATTGGTTCAAGCAAAAGAAGGATCAGTCAGGCTCAAAAGAAAAGAAAAGGAAAAGTCGGTCCAATTCAAGCCAACCCAAGCCAGCACAATTTTTAATATTTTTGCGAGGAATTAAGAGCTTTTATCATTCAATCAAAGGGGCTCCGTCACTATCAGCCATAAGGCTAGTGACAAAAAGCCAGAAGGGGAGTCTATCCAACACTCTTGTCATCTCTGGTGTGCATGCATGCTTTGCACATAGATGGACGGATACATTGGCGTGTCTCTTTACATGACCAACAACAAAATAAGTAAAAGAAGAAGCTACCCCTTCAATATGAGCCAGCACAACTGCACAAGCAGCGGCGAAGCTACACGGACGGTCATCGGTTGCCTGAGTAGCAAAACCGGTCTTTAAATACACACAAGCCTACCTCCCTCCTGGTTCCTGCCTCGCACACCCTTCACTTCCAGAGCACGCACGTACCACAGACACAGGAAGAGCAACCATGGCTGCGCAGCCGGCCGAGCGGTCGTTCGACGTGATCGTGGTGGGCGCGGGCATCATGGGCAGCTGCGCGGCGCACGCGGCGGCGTCCCGGGGCGCGCGCGTGCTCCTGCTCGAGCAGTTCGACCTGCTGCACCAGCGCGGCTCCTCGCACGGCGAGTCCCGCACCATCCGCGCCACCTACCCGCAGCCGCACTACCCGCCCATGGTCCGCCTCTCGCGCCGCCTCTGGGACGACGCGCAGCGGGACTCCGGGTACGCCGTGCTCACGCCCACCCCGCACCTCGACCTGGGCCCGCGGGACGACCCGGCGTTCGTCGCCTCCATCGCCAACGGCGGCGCCACCGTGCTCGCCCCGGCTGCGGCGGACGCGCCACGGCCGGCGTGGGCGGAGGCGTTCCGGGTGCCGGACGGGTGGGCGGCGGCGAGCAGCGAGCTGGGCGGGGTGATGAAGGCGACCAAGGCGGTGGCCATGTTCCAGGCGCTGGCCGCCAAGCTGGGCGCCGTCGTGAGGGACAGGGCGGAGGTCGTCGACGTCGCCAGGCAAGGTGAGTAAACCGACAGAGCGCGGCCGGCCGTGTCGCACGCTCGCACGTCTTCTTCGTCTCACCTCCAACCAATTTCCTTGGAAGCATTCGGTCCATCGGCTCCTGCATGTGAGCCGGTGCCGTGCGACGCGGCCGCGTCAGCATTTTCATGGACCATCCCTAGTTGTCTTGCAAACTTTTCGTCACAAACAAATTTTTACGTGGCATCTTATACAGATCATGGCCTGATCTGGCTATCTTCACAGAGCAAATTTGTCCGCACGTATGAACTGTCGCGCCATATCAATAATTTCCACTTCCTTGCATGCAAAGGGCGCACTTTGAGTAGTGTACAATGATTGCAGTTTTAGTTGGGAATCGTCGTACCTTTCCGTGTCCAAAATAATGGACAAGAATCTCTTGCTTTATAACCCCATTTGCCATTTCTTAAACGAAAGTAGTACTTCCACTTGTCACGTCACATTACATGTACTAGTTTGGTTCATTACACTTCGGTTGGCGCACATACTACAAGCCAACGGGGTAGTGGCTAAAAATATTGCAGCAGGTTTCTCTAAAGAATCAACTAATTGTTTAAGACCGCGAGCAGAGCTGGCGCCGTCAAGTGCTTCAAAAAGATTCTTATCGCAAAAATATGCTCTAATAGTTTTCTAAATAATTCTAACCCTCATATACAAGCAAATTAAGAAGTGAAATACACAAAAATATTAGAGCATAAATGCATAATGGTGTAGCTAAAAATCGTATGCAGTAAACACGAAGTGCAACCCATATTAACTGGTAGTAAATCTTTCGAGCAGGAGAAGGAACGACGACGATCGTGGTGAAGACAGCTACCGGCGAGGAGTTCCACGGCGCCAAGTGCATCATCACGGTGGGCGCGTGGACGAGCAAGCTGGTCAAGTCCGTCACCGGCGCCGACCTGCCAGTGCAGCCGCTGCACACCCTCATCTGCTACTGGAAGGTGAAGCCCGGGCACGAGCGCGAGCTCACGACGGAGGCCGGCTTCCCGACGTTCGCGAGCTACGGCGTCCCCTACATCTACAGCACGCCGTCGATGGAGTACCCGGGGCTGATCAAGATCGCCATGCACGGCGGGCCGCCGTGCGACCCGGACGGCCGGGACTGGGCCATCGGCCCGGGCGAGGACGGGCTGGTGGAGCCCGTGGCGCGGTGGATCGACGAGGTGATGCCGGGCCACGTGGAGACCGCGGGCGGGCCGGTGGTCCGGCAGGCGTGCATGTACTCCATGACGCCCGACGAGGACTTCGTGATCGACTTCCTGGGCGGCGAGGAGTTCGGGAGGGACGTGGTGGTCGGCGCCGGGTTCTCCGGCCACGGGTTCAAGATGGGCCCCGCGGTGGGGAGGATCCTGGCCGAGATGGCGCTGGACGGCGAGTCGAGGACGGCCGCGGAGGCCGGCGTGGAGCTCCGGCACTTCGGCATCCGGCGGTTCGACGGCAACCCGACGGGGAATGCCAGGAGTTACTGAGGTGAGACATGCATGGATGTTTGAGCGCGAGCATCAAGTGTTGTTGTGTGTAATTATGGTCCTTATGTCGACGTGTCAAGTGTCGCAATTTGCCAACTGGTATACTATATATGTTTGCCAAATAAGCTGTGCACCTTTGGAACAGTGAAGTAATTATTTTGTGAGCTTTGGGACAGTAAAGTGACCTATCGTACGTACGTACGTGGTGATGCAGATTTTTACCTTCCATTTTGGCACGCGAGAAATACTGGTCATCTCGACCGATCTCCCTCTGGCCGTACTGTGCATGTGTGCCGGAGTTACCTTGAGGAATATGCATCTTCACGTAGCTCCAAAGCCACTTTGTTGGTTCTGACGTCACGCCTACGATCTGGCCATATATCGATCCTATCCATGCAATGCATGGGACCATACAAACGCATGTGTGCAGATCGATGTGCCACGGGCGATCGAGCTAGCTAGCAAGATCAGCTCATGACTCATGCCCGAGTCAGTGGTCAGTACACAACTACACGTACAAAAACATGTGATCCTCTCTCTCATGATAATGATTGATGTGCATGATGCGTCATGCCAATCATCATCGGGAGTATGTCTCTAATAAAACCCACATGCAAATTAGCGTGAATTATTGATCACTCACGAGCTGCTGCGTGTCCTATCAGTCCGGGGCGCCGCTAGCTAGCTAGGTGTCATAGCTGGTCGATCTGCTCCCCGTCCATATCTCCATCGACCGTGGCTCGTACGTGGATCCCTTCCTCGTCCTTGTCATTAGGATAGGAAGTAGTATCTCATGAGATTGAGAGCTATGGACCGATCTGGAGCCAGTGACCTGTCTCTGCGTCTGCACCACTCGCAAGTGCATGCCAAGACACGTACTCCTAGTCACGGATGCTGATGGTCATGTCATCATGTCGTTTCCTACGTCCACACTAGACATGCGTATGGGCACCGTTCATTCATCACTTGACCTGGACTAGAACAGGCATATGGCCACCGTTCACTTGACCTGGAACGTGTGTTCAATTTCATCCCAAGCCCATCCAAACCTGCTAATATCACTGCTTCTAGAAGCCAAAGCTGCTGCAAGTACAAGACTCAACCCTGATGATGACGTACATTGGACCATCAGGCGCTTGATAGCAGAATTTTTCTCCATCTCCGTTGAGTTGCAGCCATCTGTTTATCATATATCCAGGAAGCTAATGGTATTGTAGGCAATGTGGCTCATCACGTTCTCAATTCCTCCGTGGAACTTGACAACCTGTCTTTGAATGAAATTCTTCAGCTCATATGTACTCTCCTTGTCCTTTTATTTCTGAACTCTCTCAAGTTCATCTACAGGACTTTGTAATCCATGTTATACTTTGCATTTAAGCTGAATGAATATGGCGCCCGCTATCGCCTTTCCCTCTTCAAAAAAAAATGATTCCCTTTCTTCTTCTCAAGATAAAGGAAGAGAGGGCCTATCATGGCCTCTGAATCGATCAATGCACATGGCTTCGGATCTACTTCCTTCATTCCATAATATAAGATGTTAGAGCATCTACAACCGGACTTAGCAAATCTAGGCCCTTAAATGCCCACCGACGCGCCCGGTCAGTGACCGGGCATGTCCGTTTTGAATCCTTATTTGTTTGTCCATACAACCATACTCCTAATTTCCTTTCTTAATTATATGTCCTGTCACTTGTACGTGATAGGTGAAGATGAAGAGAAGGAAATAAAAGAATGAATAAAGAAAAAGAAAAGGTGGTCCGTGGTGGGCCTCGTCCTACATGATGGACTGACATATCAAGTCCGCCAGCCATCATATTCTTCCTAGATTTGTCCTCGATATGAGGGCTCTCGAATAGCCCCGGCGTATAGGGATGATATAAGGGGTCCGATTGGGTCACTTTTTCTTTCTTCTCTCTTATCTGATTACTGACTGGGCGTATCCGCGTATGTTTGAGGAGGATTCGAGGAGGCCGGTTGTAGATGCTCTTATTACAACTGTGCTAGTGCCACCAAGAATTATGTGCCAACCAGAGCAACTCCGATGTTGTCTTCCAGGTGGCCTAGGGGGCTTCAAAACCCTATGGACCCCTAGGGCTCCTCCTTAGGACATTCTAGATTCTTCTAGAGATAGCTCATCACGTATGCCATGTGGTGCCCCTACTCCTCCTGCATCGGCTACCACCGTCGACCAATGGTGGTAGGCCACGTTCCTGGAGGGAGGGGGGGTGGCTTCTCTATTGAATCTGAGGCAACAAAGCTTCTTCGGAGCGGGAAAGTGGTGACGGAAGCCATCGGCCCATGAGCCTTTGCTGTCGGTCACCCTTCGACCGCCGTCTTCATTATTTATTATTCTATTTTTTTTGTGCTCTACAAAAAATAGAAACAACTTGTAATTATTGCTCCTTTTAATGTGTCGCAACACCTAACTTGTGTAATTCTATAATAAACAAAACATATTTGATGAAACATGCTCAATGTATTTTGCATACAACAATATAAATTGGCATGTTTAACTTTTTTTTTTACTATAACTCTTGTTTTTATGATGCAAAGTGCTCATATGGATTCGACACATATTAGGGCAAGGCGCGCAGCACCAACCCTCACTAGCAGAGGCACCCAACAAAAATGTGTGTATATTAGCAGAAAAGCAACACTGCCCATATACCATAAAACATAACAACAGATGATCCCAGTAAACATCCCCCCTGTCCGTTCCTGTCTTTCCACCCCGAGAAAGTGTATAATCCCACGGTACTGAAGTAAGGCACCAAAAAGACAACAATCGAATCATGTGTTCTACTACCTCCGTCCGGGTTTTTAAGTCCCCCCGACCAGAACGCACGGACCAAGGCAGGATCTGCTGCAGCAGCAGCAGATATTGTGGCAGAGCGACGGCCAACAGATATTATCAACAGGAAGCCAGGTAGAGTTGGTAGAAAGTGCATTACGCTAGACTCTGTTGCTCTAGCGGCCATCCCTCCGAGACACCGCACGACGATTCGAGATGTTGCCGGTGCAATGAACATGTCGAAGACCACCGTTCACAAGCTGTTGAAGGAGCATGAGTTACGCAAACACACCAATGAGCTTAAGCCTTTGCTAACGGAGGAAAACAAGAAAGCTCGTATCATGTATTGCATTTCAAACCTAGAACCTGCTAGTATGCCGGAGAACCCTATCTTCAAGGATTCATACAACGTCATCCACATTGATGAAAAATGGTTTTATCGCACAAGGAGAAGCCAAGGAATTTATTTGGGCATTAACGAGCCGAACCCCGTGAGGCACGCCAAAAACAAGGGACACATCGAGAAGATCATGTTTCTTGCCGCTGTTGCTAGGCCAAGATTCGATATGCAAGGCAATTGTACTTTTGATGGAAAAATTGGAATTTGGCCCTATGTTGAATGGAAGCCGGCGCAAAGGAGAAGCCCGAACAGGCCTAGGGGAACTATGGAGCTCAAGCCATGCACCACGGTCGGCATGGATAAGAGTCGGGAATATTTGATCAATAAGGTGTTGCCGGCAATCAAGGAGAAGTGGCCGCAAGAGGATCGATGGAAGCCAATCTTCATCCAACAGGACAACGCAAAGACACATGTTCGACCTGATGATCCGGCAGTTCTTGCAGCAGCTCATGAAGGTGGTTGGGACATTAGGGTCGTGATGCAGCCGCCTAATTCTCCGGATACTAATGGGTTAGACCTTGGCATCTTCAACTCTCTTCAGTCCGTATTTGAAAAGAAGATGCCACAAAATCTTCATGAGATTCTCACGAAAGTGGATGAGACATGGGATGAGCATGATGCAAACAAGTCCAACCGTGTGTTCCTTACCCATCAGGCTGTCATGCGGGAAATACTAAGGCACAAGGGCTCCATAGACTATGATCTTCCTCACCTAAAAAAGAGGTCTTTTGAGAGGAGGGGGATCCGCACGCGTAGGCTACCATGCGAGCCCGAGGTTGTAGCTATGGCGCTTGAGTATGTCAATTCCGAGCAGATTTGAATGTATTGCAATGTGTAATGCAATCGTCTCTTTTGGTTTCATGTACTCTATTTTATGTTATGGCATGCAAGAGTTTAAAACATGCAACTGCACGCAGATGTTCATTCTTACTTGCAACATCATTAAACTTAAAACACAGTTAAATTTAAATACTTCGGACGGCAAACCAAGCTTCCATCATTCATGCGAAAAGTCCAACATGCAGATGCATGCAAATATTCAGTCTTACATGCAAAATCATCAAACTTAAAACAGGTCAACTCTCATGCTACCATCCTGTTTCACATCTCTTCCTTTTGTTTTTTCTTTTCAATTGCTTCCAGCCGCCTCTTCATATAGTTCATCATTGCATCAAGACCAGGGCGCGTGCACGAACCTAGCATTTCAGGTGTTATTATCACTTCTTCTTCATCCAAGGCCAACATCCATCTTGGCCGAGGAAAGCCATTGCCCACAGACCCTGTCGATCTTGGCCGAGCGAAGCGCTCCTTCATGGCACGGACACGCGCGACCCGGCCGACGAACTCCACGACCGCGTCAAGCAACGCAGCGAAGCCATCCTCCTCCTCCATGCCGTGCCAAGGTCCGGACCCATGCCCTGCGCGAAGCCATGTTGTAAGAACAAATCACGCCATGTTGGCCGGGGAAAAATACCATGGGCGTCCGAACTGCACCGGCTAGCATGCATCAACATGACAAGCATAAATAAACCATGAACACTTACCTCAGTACCCCGAGTCGCATCACCAACGACGAGCTCTGCGTGTGCTGGCACCTCCAAGCCGAGCTCCGCCTGGGTCTCCGCGTCAGGATCGACCTCGACGCCATGCTCGACGAGCGCCCCATCGTCGACGCCGAGCTCTGCGTGCCCACCAACGACGAGGTCGGGCGGCGGCGCATCCAAGCCCCGCCCCGCCTGGGTCTCCGCGTTAGGATCGACCTCGACGGCGTGCTGCGCCAGCGCCACGTCGTCCACGCCTACCTCCGCC